CGGGGCGCATCCCACCACAAATCATCTGTGTTTATCACAGGAGTGTGTTCTGGGTGGGTACCAGTAGGTCTGTGTGCTTCGACCATAAAAAGGCTCTGTTACTTGTGGGGGTCAGAGGTTTCGGGATGAATGTCTTGTAGCATGATCCGTCAGTATCCGAAGGGATCAGATAACCCTGGGCAGTGGCCTATGAAGAGATTTCCTTTACAAGTAAGGAAAACTAATAAGCCACTGTGGACGGCCTACATGCTCATCGGCACTCGAATTCCTAGGCTGCGTCTGAAAACGCGCTTCAAAGCTCACATTCATTTGTTTCCAAGGTACCGGTTTTTAGGTTTTATAGAGGCTCCTTTGAGGAACAAAAGTCTGCAAAGTCCTTGCGAGGCTCAGGCTCGCGAGTTTGTTCTATGGGAGAATGTTTTCATGAAGGTTCTTTGCCCTAGTAACCTACTGAGGAAACAGAAAGGAGAGCGCCTGCCCAAACCGAATCGGATTATTTAACAGATCTAACCCAATCGATCGCACACCAGGCACTATTCCACGTGTATAAACTGTCTGTGAGCGGCTGTCATCCCCCTCACGACCCCACGATGTAGGAGAAGCCGTCATCCCCGCGTACCTGCGGGGCACTGTGCAGTCTGGAGTTTCTGAGGGTGGAGACAGAACCAAACCCGGGGGTCTCACTTAGATCCGCACTTTGAGCTGCTGTGCTCCGTTACTTCTGGAGAGAGTGAGTGGATGCAACGTTGGTAGGGAAGATTCCAGTGTCACTGAGGCCTCAGTTGTGGTCTCTAAGCAGCCCCGCCTTGCCCAGAGCACCCTCCCCGCTCTGTACCCCGCCCCCGGACCAGGTGCCTTGCCTGGAAAGCCTGCCTGAATCCCTCCATCCTGTTCAACTTGCCCTGCACAGCGTTCACCACAAGGTGAGTGCTATTTAATTGATTTCCTTATTTTATCTATTTATTTATTTATTTTTGACAGGCAGAGTGGACAGTGAGAGAGAGAGACAGAGAGAAAGGTCTTCCTTCGCTGTTGGTTCACCCTCCAATGGCCGCCGCAGCCGGTGCGCTGCAGCCGGTGCACCGCGCTGATCCAATGGCAGGAGCCAGGTGCTTCTCCTGGTCTCCCATGGGGTGCAGGGCCCAAGGACTTGGGCCATCCTCCACTGCACTCCCTGGCCACAGCAGAGAGCTGGCCTGGAAGAGGGGCAACCGGGACAGAATCCAGCACCCCGACCAGGACTAGAACCCGGTGTGCTAGCACTGCAGGTGGAAGATTAGCCTATTGAGCCGCGGCGCTGGCCTTAATTGATTTCCTTATTATGTGTATTCATATTGTTGGTGCTTTCTCATAGGACTGACAACACCAGGGCAGCAGGGCTCGGGGAGGGGGTAGAGTTGTGTCTCTTTTCTTCAAACGTTGCCCAAACACAACAGTGCTTGACGCACTGGCTGCTAAATAAATATTGGTGGAGAGAGAGTGGAAAGCAAAGAACGTCCACCAGCAGGCTGTGCCCCCCGCGTGGTCTGGAAGATTAGCCAGAGGGCTTCGATGCCTCTTGCAGATCTAACAACTTTGGATTCTGAGAGCAGCCCACACTAGGATTTTCAAAACACGGCCACCACGGCGAGTGGTGAAACTCAAACCCGGAAGACCCAGTTTCCCGACCTATGCAAGGGGCGCATGATCAAGTGGTGGGCAGTGCCCCCACGGCATGGGAGGCATCCCGACCTACGGCCTGACATCCGTCTCAGCCTCTCTGGCCAGGGGAGCAGCCTCTGCAGTATGTAGAAAGCTCCAGGCTCAGCTAGGAGAGTCCTCGCGATTTTCTTCAGTAGCTCCCACCCCAGTCCCCTCTGCCTCTCCTCCTAGCCTTCTTTCTGTACAAACCCCAGGGCTTTAACTTGCCTCCTAAAGAGTGGCTTCCATGGGCATCTCCTCTCCACTCCCCGAAGCACCTGCCACAGTCCAGCCCAGACGTAAATTGATGTCTAAGGGACGGGTTTTCCCAATTGTATTAGCCTGAGAGCTCGTGAACAGGCCTGGCAGGCGCTTGTAATGGAAATCTGTCCCCTCACTCCTTCCTCTGCTGCCATCCATCCTGCTGGCATCTGCCAAGACCCTGTCACCTGTCAGCGCTACCTGCCAGTCACCAGGCCAGAGCTCTGCATCAGAGGTGCATGAGAGCCATGCCTGCCTTAGGGGAGCCCACAGGTGAGAGGGCCTCAGAGAGTGATGAGGCCAGCGCTTCTGTCTCCAGAGACGATGGGAAAGCTAGGGTGGCAAAGGTCCTGGGGGGCGGGGGGGGAGCGGTACTAGGGATTCTTCCCTAAGGAGATGACATTGGGTTTACTGTTCAAGGCTGAAAGGATTTCAAGTAACACAAACTGGCTGAGCCTGGAAGGAATTTGGATGAAGCAAGTGACAGACCAGAAAGAGAGCCTGTTGTGGCTGGAGTGAGGGTCACCTGTGGGGGGCAGAGGGTGGCCGAGCTGGGGAGCTGGGGTGGAAGCCAGACTGAAGGGTCTGGGCTTGACCCTGTAAGCTGGGGGAACTATGGGAAGGGTGTATGTCATTTAGAAGGACCAATATGCCTGATGTGGGTGCATGGGTGAGCCAGGGGGTAGTGGGGCCACTGGGAGCAGAGACAAAGTCGATGTCACTGGGAGAAAACTGGGCTCACTGTTACAGGACCCAAACCCCTGTCCTGGGTTGGGCCCCTAATTTCACATGTGGACCCTACCCCAATTCCGTGAAATGAAGGAACTCAGTGAGATGCTCCCTCTAAATTCCCTGATGTATTGATCTGATGTAGAACAGTTCTCAAAACTGCTCTTGGAATGCAGAAGTGGTGTCACATGTTATTGGAACTCTCCAATTCTTCTGTGACTAGAGCAATTACTTCTAGATAATTGCAGAGCTAAATTGGGAACACTTTCCCTCCGCTGGGTCAGGAAAGGCAAATATGTGATTTTTCACTTTAGTTGCAGTATTTTTAGTACATATTTATGATCCACCTAAAGCAAGAGTTTTTTGTTATGTAATGTAAAGAACTCAAAAAGAGTGGTTAAACTCACAATGAGAAACAAGAAATCACAAACATTTAAAAGAAAAGCAAGAGTGTCAGCTAGGGATATAAGAGAACATAGAATATGGCTCTGAGCTTCCCAGCAGCCAGAGTGAAAACAGCATGGTGGATATTATAGGTTTGTGCCCTCATTTACCTGAACAGCTGTTTTCTCCACAGCTAAATTTCCATCTCCTCTGATCCACTCAGGGGGGGCCTTTGAGGATCCCACATATCAATCAAAACATCGGATGATTGAGCTGGGCTTCAAGAATCTCAGGTGCTCGAGTAATTTGGGGTCACTTAGCTGTATTTTGGCTCACAGGGACACAAATCAGGTGCACTGGCTGAATGACAATTCAGAGGGTCCCTCCTCTTCTAGTCTGGGGGGAGGCACCAGCGGGAGGACTGAGGGCATTTTACCTGCCAGATCTTCCCCCCCATCGGTGCGTCAGACAGCTGTCCACTTGCAGTACCTCCCACCCCCAAGCTCTGGGGCTGGCTGCAAGCCAGGATGAGGACCTCCCGGTCTCAACTCCCACTCGCCTTTCTGAAATGACCAGACAGGGACCTGCATGGCCTGGGATTGCCCATCTGTATCTCTGACACACAAGGCAAGGTGGCCAGGGAAAGCAAAACCATCTCTCTCCCAGGCCTGTTTTTTTCTCTGTAAAGCAAAAGACCTTTCAGCTCAAAATTCTGAGATGAACAAAACCCCAGCAAAGTCCCCCAAAATCCCAGCAAAGTCCCCCAGTACCACCTTTTCACATGATCGCTGTCAGTTCTGAGAAGCGGGAGTGCTTCCAAGCCTGGGTGTTAGCTCCCATCTGGGCCATTCTAAGAAACCTCTACCGGGTTGCTGAGCGAAGCCTCCTTCCAGGGTCCTGTCTCTGCAAGGTTAGTCCAGACGCTGCCCTGGGTGACATGAATGGGAAGCAGAGCTACACCACCCACACAGGGCCTCAGGTGACCCCAGGGTGGCCCTGCGGTTGGCACTTGATGAGGGGGCTACAGAGCTGTCCCCTCCTCAGTTACTCTGTAGTGCATGATTGCAACTTCACTGAAGGCAGAGGCCAACTTCCATTTTTCATTCTACCACAATGCTTAGCCTAGACCCTTGCATGGGTTCTAGTAAATTTTTAAGAATCTTGAATTCTTTTAAGAATTCTTAGATTATGCTCTATACCAAAATCTGAAACCGCCTGCCAATAAAGAAAACCATTAGCAACAGATACAGGTAACACTTCTCATTGTAAAGCGTTGGTATGGGAGAGGTCTTTGGCTTAATGGTCAAGAGGCTTACATTCTAATACAAGGAGCACCAGTTTCTGGCTCCCTGCTGGTGGAAGCCCTGGGAGGCAGCAGATGGCTCCAGTAGTCGGATTCTTGCCACGCATGAAGTAGACTTGGATCCTTGGCCATTGCATGCATTTGGGGAGTAAAATAAGATGGGACTTCTCTGGCAAAATACCTTTAAAAGTGCTACATGCATGCAACAGCCAGGTCTGGGCCAGCCCAGAGCCAGAAGCCCAGAACTCTGGTTCTCTCCCATGGGTGGCAGGGGATCGAAATACCCCTGCTGCCTCTCAGGGTGCACATTAGCAGGAAGCTGGACCCGGAGTAGAAACACCTGGGACACTTGAATAAAGGTAATAATGGTCTTGGTATTGCGTGTCCTGCTCAGCCCCACGAAAGGGTCTCAACAGTTTGCTCTACAAACTGTTAAGTGCTGTGGTCCCAAGACAGAAACGCCTTAACCCCACTTCCACCCCACCCCACCCCCCGGCTCCTGGCACCCCCACCCAGAACTGTACAGAGATAAAAGGGCTGCCTGTGGAAACCAAGGTGCCCCCAAGTTATGGACTACTTGTGACTACCACTTGAGGGTCAGGCTGAGAACTAGCACTTCTTCTAAGGAAAAAGTTAAACTGCATCATTTAATTGCTATTTATTTTCATAAACATGAGGTATTTCAAAGTGCTATAAGATGCAGCACTAAATATATACATTTTGAAGAAATTAAAACACAGAACTTTGCAGTTACCCAGTTCTATGCACCAAACATGAACAAATACATTAACAGGAAGAAACAGGCTAGGAAAAAGGCATATATATATATAGTAAATTTCTTTACAAAAGTTTCTTAGTTCAAAAAGTGATAAAGTAATATCTACTCAAAACTTTCACAACTCATTTTCATACGAAAATATAAGTATCAAATTTAGTTATGTTTCAGCATCATACTAAAGCATACAGGCAGTGTAAGAATTAGTACAGTACATAACAGAGATTAACAATAGATTTGTATACAAAACATGCTCCTCAAACATTGAGGTATTATTACAGTACTCAGGTGTGAACGGGCCAGCCTACCACTGGCCGCGAAAGCCACCGCGCATTACCCAGGACGTGTACAAAAGGCGGGGTGTCAACGGTATTTACAGAAATTCCCCGGGGTGGGGGACGGGGTGGGGGGAGGAGATCCGGCACCCCCCTTGGTGGCATCCGCTGGAAAAGCACCATTTTGTAAGAGAAGGAATGACTTTCCGGCGTTCAAGACGAGGCTCCGGGCTGTCGTCGGGGCAGCATGGGCCGCTGTCACCCGCAGGGGCCACCGGCATCCATCCGTCCGTCCATCCATCAAGCCCAGGTCCCTGCGGTGGGCGCCCCACGCGTGGGGGGGTGGGGTGGGGTGGGGTCCCGCTTCCCACCCCAGATCCAGGTCTGCAGAGGGGAGCGATTTGAAAGTAAACCAACATTCTTAATGTCAACACAATGTTTGTTTAAAAAACAACAACAACAACAAAACAATCAAAATGTGCAAAGTGGCAGTGACTGTCCAGTCGGGAGCAACCTTAGCAAGTCCGAGCGTGTTCGATTCTCTTGAGCAGCTGTTCCTGCCTCGCCTGCAGCTTCTCCTTCTCCAGCAGCAGCTGGTGCTCCTCGGCCTGCAGGGAGTGGACGTACTCGGTGGCCTTCTTCAGAATGACCACCTTGGCGGCCTTCTCGTTCTTCACCAGCTCGGGCACGTGGCCGCGCAGCGCCAGGAAGCTGGAGCGCAGGTCATTGCGGCGCTGGCGCTCCAAGATGTTGTGGTTGCGGCGGCGCTCGCTGTCCTCGGAGTCCGAGTGGCGCGGGCTCAGGCTCTTGGCCTTGGCGGGCACGGTGGTCTTGAGCGGCCGCGGGGACACCTCGCTCTTGGCCTTCTTCTGCGGCGGCGCGTCCTCGCTCTCCGCGTAGGGCGAGGGCGCGGCGTAGGGCGAGGGCGCGGCGTAGTTGTGCTGCTGGTGGATGGGCACGCAGCGCTTGAGGATGAGCTCGCTCGTCTGCACCCGGCCCAGGCCCAGCGCCGCGCTCTTGGGGCGCACGGTGATGGTGTACGTGGTCACCGCCTTGCTGCTGGAAGCCGAGCGCCGCTTCTCCACTGTGACCACGTCGATCTCCTCCTCCTCGTCCTCCTCCTCCTCCTCTTCGTCATCTGGAGAAAGGAGGGGGGGGTGAAATTCACACCGCAGCCGGGGTGGCACCCAGGCCGGGTCCCTACAGCAGACACTGGCAATGGGCACATCAACTCATCTCAGGTCTCTTTAAGTGCAATGCACCTGCAGATACCTGCCCATCCCCCTACCTCCGCTTTGCAGGGGAAGCAGGGGGCGTAGGCATGGGGTCAGAGGCAGCACCACCCAGATCGGGGGAGGCTGGGTGCCCCGCCCTCCTAAGCCTCAGTTTCCTGAGCTGCTCAGTTTTGCATTTCGCAGACCGGGAGTGGCTCAGTTGGTCCTGGGAGACAGAAGCTCACTGAATGGCAGCTTTTACAATCGCCAGCCAGTGTGGCCGCTGGGAGCTTGTTTACGTTTCTGTCTCCACACCAGAGCATGGAAGTTCCACACTTCACGACCTACACTTGGTTCAGGCGGGTTCCAAGTCCTCCAACAAACTCGAGGAACGAGTTCATTCACCCGGGAAGGCAAAGAACTGTTCTCCCTCGCGCTAGAGCCCTCCACTGAAGCACTTTTTCACGAACCAGACCCCTAGCTGCAAAGCCCTCCTTTACACTCCCTGTGGAGCCCCCGAACGGGAGCAGCTCCGCTCACACTTGCCAGTAATAACAGCAACAACACAAACATGTAGTGTCATGTGCACTTCCCCTGTCGCCTCCTCTACCACCAGGCGGGAATAGAAAATTATTGTTTAAAATGCAAGCATGAAAATCAAAACACATCTTCTGCTTGATGTGCAGGGGACCGGAAAGCCGAACAATTGTGGGATTTGTTGTAAAGCCGAAATGTGAGGCTGTTCCAGTCTGTGGGTCCCTTTAAGCCAATGTTTTGGTTTTCTGCCAAGAAGACAGCTGTTGGAAGGAAGTGCTTCCTCACCGAAAGCTGTCAAGGCACAGACATTAAAGGGACAGCGCTCTTTCCAACTGGAGGCTTATCACCAAGTTTCCTTCCCGGAGCCTCAGAAGGAAATTCAGGCTTTTTATCCACCTGCGTTCTGCAAACACTGGCTTCCAAGACCCAAGGGAGGCCCAGCGGGGGCGTTCCAGTACTTGGGTGGGGTCTCCTGACACAGGCTGGGTGTTAGCCCTTCCCTTCCCCAGGGGGAAAAACACCAACAGATGCACACTTAACCATAATCATCATCATATCAATGCACCAACAATCCCCCCTCCAGGGGGTCTGCATTCCTGGAGGCACTGCCGCCTCCCCCCCCCATTGGGGGTGGAGTTACAGAACCCAACCCGGCCCTGGAAGGAGGCCTCCAGTCCAGCTGGAAGGACAAAGCTGCATCCCGTGTAGATCCTTGCAAACACACACCCACGCTGCTGAAGGCGCGGAAGGCAGGGGTGCCCCGGCCACCCCCAACTTCTCAGCTCCCTGTTCAGCCTGCTGGCCATCAATACCGCCGCCTGCCGGCCATGCACCAGCAAATAGCCCACCACCCACAAGGGTGTGGGGGGGGGGGGTCCCTTCCATTGGAAGAAGGGTGGGAAAAAAAAAAAAAGCGACAGCAGCCATCTGTGCGATCTTGCAGAGCTCCCAGGTCTTCCCGGCTGTCTTGCGCCCCTCCCCCGAGACCCTCTACACTGGGCGGGCTAACAGGTTTCTTTCTGCCCAGGCCACGCACCCAGCAGCCCCCTAAACCCGGTTTGGCCGCTAACTTTCCCCACTCTTAGGTGGGGAACAGGGTGAGGGCCCGAGAGGGACCGGAGTGTGGCGCCCCGAGGGGAGGGTGGAAGGAACTTGCGCAAAGGTGACACTGGGCGGGCTGGGGGTGGGGGGCGGCGCCCAGCAGCTTGCGCTCAACCTCCTCTCCAGTCTGGGGAGAGGCCTGGAGCAAACAGCACCTCTTGGCTACCGGCACTGCCTCCGGCCCAGCCGGGCGCACCAACAAAGGGAAGGAGAACCCCCTGCCTCCCCTCCGCCCACACCCACCCGCAAGACCCGAGAGAGGCGGCCGGAGGCGGCCACGGGCCTCACCTGAGTCGCTCAGGGTGTCCTCTCCGGAGGTGCTGAGGGCCTTGTGGTCCCCGCCGCTGGCCGGGCGGCCGCCTGCACGCGGAGCGGCGGGAGCTGGGGCACCGGCCGGGACGGCCGCACTCGCCCCCGAGGCGCAGGGAGCGCCCGCCGCTGGGCCACCGAGCGCCGGGGCTGCAGGCACGGGTGCCGGCTCGCGCTTGTTCACCGGGAAGGGGAAGACCACGGCGGGATCCACGCACTCGGCGGCCGGGTGGGCGAGCTCGGCGGGCAAGGCGGCCGCGGCGCGGACCGTGCCCGCGGCCCCACCGTGCCCGCGGCCCCCGGGGTTGGCGGCGCCCGCTCCCGGGGCCGGGGCGGCTGGCGGCCCGCGGCCGTGCTGCAGCTTCTCGCTCACGGCGCGCTCCAGCTTCTCTCGGGCCGAGAAGCCGCTCCACATGCAGTCCTGGAGGATGACCGGGTTGGGGGTGAGGCCGCCCAGGCCCCCCAGGCCGAACGCGTCCTCCTCGGCCGGGTTGCCCCACAGGTCGGCCTCGGGCAGCAGCAGCTCGGTGGCCCAGTTCAAGGGCTCCGGGCTGTGGTCTGGGAAGGCACGGCTGGGCGACAGCGGGGGCGTGGGCAGCAGCTCAAACTTCTTCCAGATGTCCTCGCCCGGGGGGGTCGAGTCGGGGCCGCCGAAGTAGAAGTCGTCCTCGTCCGGGTAGAAGCAGGGCTGCAGCGAGTCGAACTCGAGATCTGCGTTCTTGCGGATCGTGCCGGGCATGCTGCCGGACGCCGTGCAGCTCGGCATAGGCTCGCCTCCCGGTCGGCGGCGCTGCTCGCGGTGTGGGGGGTGCTTCCTTCCCGTGGGGGGCCCGCGCTGGCCTCGGACGCTGCAAACGACACACACACACACACACACACACAGCAGGGAGAAAGTGGGCACCGGAGCGGACCTGGGGGGAGACAGGCGGCGGGGCCCCGCTCTGACCCCGCTCCCCACCAAGCCCCTGCTCGGCCCCGCTCTCCAGAAGGTGGGAGAAGTTCTGCCTCGGCCTGCCTGCCTCCCTCCCTCCTTTTGTGTACAAGCTGTCTACGACAGGGGGTGGGAGGGGGCATGCAGATGCAGGGGGTGGTGGCGGCTCTGCAACTTTGCAAACTGCCGCTTCATTCACACAAGGCACTGCCCTGGGAGGCTGCGGAGCCCCAGCTCCCTACACAACCCCTCTCGCACCCGACCGAGGTAGGTTAAGGCCAGCTGCCCCCTGGAAGCCCCGGGCTCTGCAGCCCAGCGACGGCGCACAGAACCAGGAGTGCCCTCAATGTCCCCCGTGAACATGCAGCCTCGGAAGTGCAAACGATTCTGGAAACTTTGCAAATAGCCAAAACCCTTCCTCCAGACCGAGACCCACAACGGTCACCCAAACCCACAAACCCCCATCCCCAAATCGGAGCAGATGCTCCTGGCTTTCACGCACTGCAGGGACACCCCTGCCAGCAGCGTATTTCCCACCTCCCCGACCCCATCCCAGCGCCTCTAGACGCCTAACGAGGTCCTTTTCCTGGGGGAGCAAGCTGCGCCCGGGTGCACGGGAGTGGTGCAGGGGCGCCAGGGCGGGGAGGGTCGCGGGGAGAGCCGCGGCTCCTCCCGACTGGAGCAGCCGCCGTGACCCAGATTCCCACAGCCGCCGCTTCGCCCCGCCTAACCTCCCGCTTCTCCCTCCGGGGGCACCCTTTGGAGAACCCAGCTTGGGCTGGAGACGCACCGGCGCCCGGTCAGCTCAAGCACAGACCGATCTTCAAGAGCAGGGCGAATCGCTTTTCGCTGAAGCCATTGCTCGCCCCTGGCTGGGGCTGCAAAAGGATTAGGGCGGGTCTCTCCCAGCTAGGGAGCCTTCGGGGGCTGGAAAGGGCTTTTCAGGGAAAACCCCGAGACGGGTTTTGTTTCGCAAGCAGAATCGGTCCCCCGGGCATCTGCGGGCGCCCGGCGCGCGCGCCGCGCTCGCGTCCAGGGCTTGCCTCGCCGCGGCGCTCGCCGCTCCCGGGGCGCCGGGCGGTTTGCAAAGCCCCGCTCCTTACCTCGAGCCGACCGCCGGGGATGCAGACGCGATGCTGCGCTGGGGTCTCCGGGTGGGCTGTGGGGGCGGGGGGGCCCTCGGGTGGCTGCGGTCTGTGCGCGCTTGCGCCCGACTAGCGCTCGCTCGGCTCCAGCCCTTTTCCCAGGAGTCCCCCGCATCCACCCAGCGCGTCCAGACAGATGACTGTCACTGGCTGCGCTTTGAAGCTCGGGGGATATTATTAACTGAAAAATCTGACACACCCGGGGGGCGGGGAGAGAAGGGGGCTGTGGCGCAGACCAGGGGGAGGGAGAAAGGCAGAGGAAAACGGCTTTACCCCGCCCTCCTCATTTCCATAAAAATCAGGGGAGGCGCCAAGGCTTTCGCGCCAAAAGCCACTTGCTTTTCTTCTTTTGCAGAGAGGAGACTGCAAAGCTGGGCGCTCGGGGTGTGCTCCTCCCGCCCTCTCGGGCCCCCCGGGCTTGCACCCGCTGCACTCGGCGAACCAGCTGCGCTCCCAGCCGTGCAACGCAGCGCCCACCCTGCGGGCCTGGCAGTCGCTAGGCGCTTAAAAAAAAAAAAATTCTGGAGCGCTCCCGGGTGCGTGTGTCCGCGAGAGGGGAACCGAGGCTTCCGCCGCGGCCCCCGCCTGCCGCACCGCGTTCGCGCGCAGCCGTGGGGCAGGCTTCGCAGAGGGCTCGCTCAGGTGTGGCCTCGGAGGGTGCAGGACGCGCCCATTTAGGAACGAGACCGCAGGTCGTCTCTAGTTTCAAACTGAAAGGAGGAGAGGGGCGCCCCCCTTGTTTGAAAATAAATAAGTGCGGGCAGTGAGGGAGGCGCCGCGGCGGTTTCTCCGGCCGAAGGCGACACCTTGCGGAAAGCCAGCAGAAAGCGGAGCCGCAGGGCCGCGGAGGGGCCACCCCGCGACTCTCCCGCCGCGCCCCTCCCCGCGGGACTCCCTGCCGGCCCCCGCAGCCGCCCGGTGGGCGTGCGTCCCCGGCGGGCGTCGCCCCCGCCTCCCGCGGCGCCTCCTGAAAGCCCGCATTCCCCAGAGTTTTGGGCAGGGAGATCCGGTTCACCATATTAGGAAGCCGTGTCCACACCTCCTGGAGACCAAATGCAGACTCAAAAAAAAAAAAAATCCTTGACTCCAAATTGTGGGAGGCCGAAAGGGAAGCTGCCGCCGTGCCCCAGCCTCTTGGGGCCGGTTTCCTCGGGCGTGTTTGGGAGATGGGGATGGTGCCCAGCGCATAGCGGGGGTGAGGGAGCGCCGAGCCCAGTGCCCAGCTGTGGTCAGTGTGCCAGCTGTTCTTGCTGCCATCACCAGACCCTCAGAGAGTCTTTTTCCCGGAATTCACGCCGCGGGAGAGCCGCACTAGGCTCGGGTCGTGTTGGGGGGGGGTCAGAGGTCATAATCCCCTGAACCCCCCCCCCAAAAAAACTACCCAATTTCCCGGGCAGCACCCCCTACGGAGTCAAATGCACGAGGAGGTGGGCGTTGTTTGGGGCCGGGGGTTGGCGGGGGGGACCTGGCGCCTAAAGTCGGAGTGTGAAGCCCCCTCCACCTCCCAACTGGAAATGCCACCCTCCCCCGCCCCCATTCACCTCCGCATTCAAACGCGTTCAGGATGAGGAGGCAGAGGGTCAGGGGCCACCCGTGAAGTGCTCACAGATTAGCATTTGTGAAGGCCTTTGCAGGCCTGACCCCGGATGCCTACATAATTCTGGAAAGAGCGGCAGATTCCCAGGGTGCTAGGAAGTGGCCCATGAATACGGAGGCGCCGCCCCGCCACGCACCTGAGCAGTATTCCCCTCACAGATGTAAAACACTTCACCTTCGCAAAAGCCTTTCTGTAACACCCCCACTTCTCCTTCTCCCTCGCCCCTCATCTGCACCTCCCCTCCTGCTGTCTTCCCTCTTGACGCCCCGGCTTTTCCTGCGGAGCACTTGCCTCCATTTGCAATTGCACTTGGAGGAGCCTGAGACTATTTGTTTAATGTGTGCTTCCCCCCGGGAGGCTGTGGGAAGCCCGGCTCTGTCTCCTTCACAAACCCTTGAGCTCCTGGAGAGAGGCCGGTTGGCTTTGCCCCAGGGGATCCTCAGGGCACAGCAGGTACCCTGCTGTATACAGTTAGCACCCCGTGACACTGTTTTAAGGTGGAGATCACTGGTCTTCCAGTACAGTTTCTGTTTATTAGCCACAGAGGAGAGGGAAGTAAGGGTGTCTCCAGGATCTCTGGACACCCAGAGGTGACACTCAGAATCCACGTGGCAGAAGGACTGGGAAACAGGACGGAGGGGGCCCAGTGGCTGTGTTTAAAAGTCCCACCTGTGTCCTCTCTCACTGCACCTGTGCCCTTCGCCACATCATTGCCCTTTTGTTGAAGGACAAGGAGTAGCCGAGAAGGAGGGGACACGGGGCCAGCCAGGAGCCTGGGCTGCTCTACACGCCTCTGAGCAAACCGTTTCTCCTCCTGGACCAGCCCCAATCTCCTGCTTGTAAGCAAGCCCCTAATTACCGACAAGTCTGAATCTGAAGGGAAACAGGATGATCAAACTCAACAAATATTTATTGGTACCTCCAGTCGCAGGTGGAAAATGAAGCACTCGGCCCGGCCCGGAGAGAATGCTCGCCTACTGCGCTTGCCTACTGCGCTTCATTCATTTCCTCGTAGGGAATCCCAAACAGTCCTCTTGGTCCCAGTGTGGACGCACTGCAAAGCCTGGAGAAAGCTTCGAAGCCGGGGTGCTGTTTGGGATCCACCTTCAGTGTCCTGATCCCCGAGATAGGTCCAGAGACAGCTTCGAGGACCTCCTTATGGATCAGGGAAGTAGACCTCGCCTTAATGACCAACTACAGGATTGAATTAGGCACAGCATTTGCTTTATGTCTAAGTAGATTGCTGAAGGAGGATGTGTTAGTCTACAAACACCTTGTTTGCTATAACAACGCGCACACGCACACACACAAAACGTCACACGGATCAGAAGGGTCCCTCCCATGCCTGGCCAGATCAACAACTGCATCCAGGCCGAGGGGCCGATGGTTCTCCCAGGAACCTCGCATTGATCCCCACCACCTCCAAAACACTTGTGTGCATGTTTGCTGATTGTCATCATTTTTAAGAGTCCACAGGCTCAAGTGACTTCATTTGGAATAAAGTTAATGCTAGAACCCTGCCTCATCCCATTGAAAAAAAAATTTTTTTAAAAGAGTGGTGGGAAGCTGGATTTAAGATACAGCTGGGAAAAGACAATGAAAGTGTAAGGAAGAGAGATTAACAGGAGAAAAACCATGTTTAATTGCATCCGTAGGCACAGGAGCCCCACAAAACATGAGACTCAAAGAAGGAGCAGATGATTGAAGCTTATATACCTTCAGGAGCCACCGAAAGGATTAGGGGATTGGGGCTTCTTGGGGTGGTGGATAAAGGTTGCCTTGTTATGCAGATATAAAGTCTCTCGGGTAACAAAAGTTGACCGTCCTCCAGAGGATCAGTGACAGTCTGTCTGGGCGGGGTGTCAAGGAGTTAATTTTCTCTGGTTGATAAGATTCCTGGGGAGGGAATTCATGACAACTGAGTTCCTTTTCGATGCTCAAGCTTTAGGCAGATAAGGGGAGAGCAGAGAAAGCTTCTGCCCCACCTTTCTCCCCCAGGGGTGCTCAGCTCAAAGTAGTGGGCACACTGAAGTGCCATCTTCTGGGGCGACAGTTCTTGAACTCCTCCAGAGGCAAAGATTATGTCCCAAACAAATTGAGTAGAAAGAGCCAAGCAGATAGAAATAGGGGTTCAGGATGGGTGCAGGTGGTTCACCTAAAAGGAAAGGCAAAATTGTCAACAAACATAAGAAAATAGGCTCAACTTCACCAGTAATCAGGGTAATGCAAATTAAATCTTAAGGAGATTAATGATTTAGGGTCTGATAGGTGGGTCCCCGGTGTTGGCAAGGCAAAGGAATGGAGGCCATAGCCTCTCACACCGTTAGTATTCCTGGCCCCGGAGTAAAAGCAAATCCATTCTTCAGAATCCAAACGACCAGAAATAATAAAATCAATACATAAAAAATAGAAACACGACTGTGTGTTGCTGTAGTGTTCTCAATAGCAAAAATATAAACAATCCGAATGTCCATCAAAAGACAGATGGTGTAAGTAAATGGCCCCCCAATTTACCATGATTTAACTTAGGATGGTTAGCCCTTGCAACGGAGTGAGAATGATACACGTCCTACAGAAACCCTGCTTCTGTTTGGGTTTTGATCTTATACTAGTCACATGTCCTTTAATTCTCTCTCACCAAGCTGGGCAGTGGTGGTAACCTCAGCTCGCAGCCACTCAGCCATACAACCACCAAGGCAAACAGCAGATATTCTACCATGTACTATGCTGCTAGACTATGATGTTCCCTAGGTTAGTTGTATTAAATGCATTTTTGACTTACAATCATTTCAATTTACCATGAGTGTATTGGGGTGCAACTCTATGGAAGAACATCTGTAATATACACAAACAATGGAATAATGATTAGCCACTGAAAATAAGAGCTATAGGTGAGAGCTATAGGTACTGAATTGGAAAATGCCCGTGAACATGAAGGAAATAAGCAAGGTATAGGTAATTGTCCGGCATTTTGGATATATGAGTATAACCTGGTGACAAGTTGGGAAAAACATGAAACGAGTTATCAACACTGACCTACCTTGAAGAATAGAATCAGATTAGGAGAAACTTTCTTCTTGATGTAACTTTTAAGCTTATTTCACTTTTTTAAAATATTTGTTTATTTGAAGGGCAGAGTGACAGAATCAGAGAGAGAAAGGTCTGCCATCCACTGTGTAACTCCCCAAATGGTTCCACAGCTAGGACTAGGTCAAGCTGGAGCCCAGACACAGTAACTCCATCTGGGTCTCCCATGTAAGTGGACAAGAACTCAGATACTTGAGACATTGCCTGTAGCCTCCCAGGCAAATTCGTAAGAAGCTGGATCCGAAGTGGA